AATGAATTTTATTATTTCTTCAAGGTTCTTCACATACGTACACCTTAGAGATATCAAGTAGGCGTAACATGTTCTCAAAAAAGTAGGGTTGGCACGCAGAATAATTTTGAGTCAGAGATTTTGCTGGTTTTGGCACGCACTCACAAAAAGGTTGCCCACCCCTGCTCTAGATTAAGTCTACAGGACTAAAGCCTCAAATTTATTTCTACTAGAAATCAAATTTATAGACCAAATAATACATTTTATTAAAACTAACCTCAGAGCCCAAGTTCTTATCCACTGTGATATAGATCTGTTATTTTATCTAATTCTCCATGCATATGAGGCCAGAAATTCCAAATGGTAGCTTCAGTCAAATAAGCATCATAAGAATGCCTATCAGACAAAACTTAATACCAAAGGCTGCCTTCTACTTCAGATACACAGATTTTTTAAGTTCAGCAGAAGTCTGAGTTTGATATTCAAATTTAGTATTTAAAACTTTAGGAATAAAAGAGATATGTTAGAGAGGGTATATAGAGAGAAGGAAGGACTGAACGAACCTTTGGAAAAGCAACATTTAAGGGGTGAGGAAAAGAAGAGGGAAACCAAGAAGAAATCGTAGTAGATAAAAGTAGGGAAGAGGTGTCAAAGAACCTAATAAATGACAGATAACTATTATTACATCCCAGGTATAAATATACTTCTTTAAAATAAAGTATGAGAAATCTATTTTAATGAGTCAAGTCCTGTACAAAGAAATTGATTAATTCTTTTAAGAATTCTTTAAGCTTCCACATTGTGCTAGAGCAGTGGTTCTCAACCTTCCTAATGTCGCGACCCTTTAATACAGTTCCTCATGTTGTGGTGACCCCCTATTTCATTGTTACAAATTAAACATAATTAAAGCATAGTGATTAATCACAAAAACAATATGTAATTATATATGTGTTTTCCGATGGTCTTAGGCGACCCCTGTGAAAGGGTCGTTCGACCTCCAAAGGGGTCGCGACCCACAGGTTGAGAACCGCTGTGCTAGAGGCTCCTGACCACTGGTACCCGATAATAAGGGTTGTCATTATTAAATGAGCTGTAACCATCTCTCCATACTATAGATTATAACCTCCTTGGGGAAAAGGTTTGTGTCCAGTAGGATTTAAAAATGAAATCTTTTTTATTTTTAAAATGTATTTTTTTGTTTTCCAAACATGGAATTTCAATATATTGTTATTAAGAAACTATCAAATATCACTTTAATTTTCTTTCTTTATTTAAAATCACTTTCAGCTAAATAAAATCCAACACAGCAAAAAGGCATTATCAAAAGTGTTCTTACTTAGTCATTAAGTCTTCATTAGTGAAAACACTACTCTAATACAGTTTCTACTTCAATGATGGCAATATTCATTTTATAACAAATTTTCTCTCTTAAAAAACAATTTGCCTATCAGAGCTAAACAAATATTTGTTTCTGAAAGCAAATGAAATTTTCAAAAAATCAAAAGAAGGTATCCTGGATTGAACTATATTATAAGGACAAGATCTCAATTATTTATTTTATGTATTTCCAGTTTCATAATACAATCTTTCCTAAAGATGGCCAGTATCAAGTTAGTGTTTTTCTTAAATTAGCATATGACAGTCATTCTCTAATCAAGTTTTCAACAACTAAGTAACAAGTGAAACAAATATTGCTTAGGTAATTACAACAAGTATTTAACCAAAGGGAATTTAAAAATTTTTAATCTAATTAAAAGTAAACGTATATCCTTTGGTCCCAGTCTCTATACAAAAGCACCTTAAGTATTGGTTTATTACATTTAAATACTCTTTGAACTGCCCACAGTACTACAATAGTTTGAGAGGGGGAATGATTTTCCAGGTAAACATTTTACCAAATTAAAAAACACACAAGAGAATCAATTATAAACGAGAAAATTCAGATGCCTAGATTAAAAAACACATAAAGCGCCCGGCCGGTGTGGCTCAATAGTTGATTGTTGACCTATGAACCAGGAAGTCAAAGTTTGGTCAGGGCACATGCCTGCGTTTCCAGCTCAATCCCCAGTAGGGGGCGTACAGGAGGCAGCCAATCAATGATTCTCTCTCATCACTAATGTTTCCATTTCTCCCTCTTCCTTCCTCTCTGAAATCAATAAAAATACATATTTTTTTAAAAACATAAACATACAAAACCCAAAAACCTTCACATATCCAACTAGATGATATAATGAAAGACATATTTCCAACTTAAGCTATATTTCTATAAACATTTGTGTGATTCTTTTATTAATAACTGAAAGTTCCATGAGACTCTGTTACCCTCTGTCTTACCAGCTTCTAGAATCCTGCCTGGAACATAGTGGGCCGGGTCCTCAATTACTACTCAGTAGATTGGATGGATAGGTGGGTGAATGAAGGGAGGAATGAGCTAGGTTCTAGGGCATTCAAGTAAAACAAGTCACGGGTTCCAGCTCTCAAAGAACTTAGTCTAATATGAAAGGTATATAATATGAAAGGCATATAAACAAACAGATAACCTAACGCCTCTGAGCAGTAAGGGTACAGAGACAGTGGTAGCACAAAAGCAGGAGTCATCAACTAGTGCAGGTATTAGGGTCAAGAAAGAAGTCAAGAGGAAAGAAAGTCTGATATTTTTCTAATGACAAGGAGTCATGTAAAGCAAAAGCACACTCAGTATAATTAAAATTCTGTTTTCTTAAGATAAAGTCTTTTTACCATGTTTCTTTCAGTCCCTACAATATATCACTCAATATAATAATTGAACACAAATTCTATATGAAACAGTACATAAAAGATGACTAAGCCAGTGCTAGTTCTCAAGGAATTTACAATCCAATGCATCGTGGATCTCACCAGTTGAGAATGAGTACTACCCTTTATTAACAGCAACTTTCTAGCCAGAAAATCATTAGCACTTCTTGGCATGGAATTTATAACACTCAAGTTAGAACAAGTTTTGGTTTGAGTTCTAAGAGCAACTGCTTGTGTGATTTTAAACAAGTTTCTTATTTAACCTTAATGTGCCTGTACCTCATATATTAGTAATTAGAGGTTGCTTTCTGAGTGACTCAGTTGAATCCACTGGTTTCCAACCTCCGTATACAAATACTCCATTTATTTCCCCTCATGTTTTAAAAAGTTCTGTCTCCAAAATTGTTCATTCTATTAAGTCCTGGTGGTCAGAGCTTTGGTTTATGTTGATATCAAGTGATATAATCACAATCAAAAAGGCATTTCATGAGTATGGGTGACACTCTAATTCCTTCATAGGTGGTGGATTCACAGATGCTTCTTTATGAAACACAGGAGTGCTTCAAAATTAGTATGTTTCATATGTTCTTCTGTTACATCAAACATAACATGACAATGCTCAAATGTTCCCTCATCTCCACTCATTACCTACTTCAAACCACAGCTGTGGTTCAGAGAACTGAAAGTTCAGAAACTTTTGTTTACTCACCTAGTATAAAAATTCTGCCATTTGTGATATGAATAGACCTTGAGAATATTATGCTAAGTGAAATAAGCCAGTCAGAAAAAGCTAAGAACCATATAATTTCACTAATACGTGAGATATAAAACTGAAACTCGTGAACACAAACAGCAGTATGGTGGTTGCCAGAGGGAAGGGGGCTGGGGTGCTGAAGGGGGCCTAATATATGGTGACTGAAGATTTTACTTTGGGTGATGTGCACACAGTGCAACCAACATACAGATCTTGTATCATAGAAATCTACAACTGAAACCTATACGATCCTATTAACCAATGTCACCCCAATAAATTTTAGTTAAAAAATTTTTCCCAGTAATAAATCAGCATTTTCCAAAGTTTAAAAATAGATTAGTAAAAATTCCCGCTACACTGACCCAAAAATATCTCTAAGATCAAGACAATTTTGTTTTAGGCATCTCTGAAGTTCTTAAATGTTACAAATTTATTTTACGGAACCAAAATCTTTCCTAAACTTTCTTCCCACCCCAATACTCCAAAGCTCATAAAATAGGTCAAATGCCTCTTTCATATGACAGCCCTACAAATGTTTGAAGAGTTCTGTAATATCTAGTGTCTTCTTCTCTAACCTGCATAATAGCATGGTTTTATGCCCTCCCACTCATCTAGACAACTAGATGGTTAGACATCTAGATGGTTAGTTTGTCTTTGTCCCTTTTAATATAGAAAATCCTGTATGCCATACAGCCTTCCCTAACAACTGATAGGTATGAAAACTGAGGTTGCCTACCCTCCAGTCCCAAATATCCCACCTTCCAGAATGTTCAAGAATACCTATACTCTTTGCTGAGCACATAACACTGCTGACATGCTGGTGGTGGTCCCAATCCAAGCCTCCACCATCGATACAATTCTGTCTCCACAGATGCATACCTACTGAGTCAATTAAAAAAAATTTTGTGGTTCTTTTCTACTAGACATAGCCCTTCAGACGTAAGTTAATCTTATCAGTTGACATTCTTTAGGAATGATTATTCTGAGTCTAGGATCCAACTAACTGCAATTTCACAGAACACACACTTCTCTAGCCTGCATGCTAAAATGCAGGCACAACTTATCAATTACCTGACAAAAATCTGAAGCCACATTAGGACCTGAACCTCCTTCCAGATCTATCAGTTTAAACAGGAAATAATCTGTTTTAGAATATACAGGTTGTGTCATCAAGTTTAGAATATAAATTTTTCAGTTTTGGGGAATAGTCACCTTTCCACCATTCAGCTCCTCTAATTTTTCCATGTTTTCTTGAACAGTCATCACATTTTTTCAAATCTCAATGTCCTGAAAACTAAATTTTTGTTTAGGACTAAAACTTTGTTTCACTTATGCTACTTACTGTCTGGTCATATTTCTCTGCTTTAATTATCTTGATGTTTGTCCTTTTGAAAACTAAAGCTCAATTATCAGTAAATAAATTCCTTTCATAGAAGGGAAAACAGTCACTGCACAGTTCTGTTTTGTGACCTGTTAATATACATCATCTGCCGTAAGCCTTTTTCCTTCCCCTTAATTCACCTAACTACGAATTTAAGTAAAAGCTTTGTTCCAAAATCATTCTTGCATTTCATAAGCCTCAAGCTCATTTCTGCCTTTGGCTTTTCTATCAACACCACTCTTCTATTGTTTCTGAATTATTGTATGTGCATCCTACCCTTTGCCACCTTAAAATTTTACAAATCCTTTTAAAATATGAACTATTGGATTAACTAACAGACCTATGGAAAAGTACAATGTCACAATTCAAGATAACATGAATAATATAGAATAGGAAAATATAAGGTAAGAAGTCTAACTGATAAAATTAAGTAGTCATTTCCCACATAGATAATAACTGTGCATAAATTCAATACTGCAATGTTGGAAGACTAGGTAAAAAGAATAAAACATAGCCCTATTTCACTTTCTGGCTTAGAATTTTTCAACATATTTAAATCAAGAAAATAAGAATTGAGAAATAATAAAAATATTAACTAGCTCAGTAATAAATAAAAAGCTATCAATGATATACAAATAAAATGCATGAAAGTACCATTTTCAGGATTTGCAAAATCCCAAATTAAACGATGACTGTTTAAAACTGAAAAAATTTTCATACAAAACATGTCATGTACTCAATGTTACAGCAGCTAACTCTAATTGCTCAACTGGCTATTCTGATGTTATAGATATTATATTTGGGCATCTATCTGATTTCTTTGTGCCTTACACTTAAATCCATAAAAAAAAATTACCACATCACTGTAATACAGCTGGAGCTACAATGAAAAAGTTATGTTATCATTTGACCATTATTGTGTTTTTAAATTTCACATTTTCCATTAATTTCTGCAGTAAAATAAGAGCCAACTATTTATAAAAATATCGATGCTTTGATGTTCATAGTGTAAATTTTATAAGCAAAGTTAAAATGCCAGCTTTCACCTTTTCCACTGAAATTTACATGAGTTCTATTATTTCCTCACTATTGCAATTCATCTCTCGCTGGACACTAACCTGGCACACTTCCACAAAGAGCAAAGTGAGATTTTTGTTATTTTAGTCATATTAGTCTCTATTTACATGATATTCATTAAATATTAACATAAAAATATATGGTGTATTTATAACCACAGACTACATAGTGCTGTCATATGCCCTTAGTCAACACAGCTCTCTTCTGTTAAAAGAAACCTCTAATTCAGGGTTTACTAAATACCGGGAAAAGCTTTAAAGATATTTTGAGCATAGCAAAACCCACAGAATAACATAACTTCACTGTGCTCATTTTAAAAAGCCACATTCACAAGGTACAGAAAGCAAATGCATTAAAAAGCTGATTATTAGAGAATATGCACTATTTAGTGGAATATGTTTTGCTTACTCAAACAACAGAATAAATTAAATCTGATTTAACTTTGAGGTAACTACTTATTGAAAGTGGAAAGGAAAAAAAAGCTACCAATAATTCTCTAGATGGGACCTTATTTTTAGGTTAAACTGTGTTTGTACTTCAGAACTATAAGCACAAAAAGAAAAACTAGAGTTAAATTCTACTTCATAGCCCTCCTTTAAATTGTCAAAATCAACAATTGTGCAAAACTGTTGATATATTTCACATAAAAAATGTGAAACAGCAAGTCTTATAAAAATGTCCATCCTATTTCCATGACTGTTCTCAGGAGCTGTTTTATGTTTTTGAAAGTTATGTAACAGTAGCTGCATTTTCCTGAAAAAAAAAAAAAAAAACCACAAAAAAAACTCTTTCAAAAGTTACAGAAAAAAATGTCTAATGAATGATTCAATGTATACTAAGTATGTGTATTTTTAGATAGACACAGAGAAGTTAAAAAAAAAAAAAAGACATCACACCTCGTCCTAGCCGGTATTGCTCAGTGGTTAGAATGTCAACCAAAGCACCTAGGTTGCAAGTTTGATCCCCACAGAGTGCAGGAGGCAACCCATTGATCTCTTTCTCCCTTTCTTTCTCTCTCTCTTGCTCTCGCTCTATTTCTCTCCCTCTCCTTCCACTCTCTGTAAAAAGCAATGAAAAAAGTATCCTTGGGTGAGGATTTAAGAAAACAAACAAAGCTATTACACCTCAAAAAACTAAAAATAGAACAACCATATGACCCAGCAATTCCATGTCTGGGTATATATCTGAAGAAATCCAAAACATTAATTAAAAAAGATAGGCACTCCTATGTTCACTGTAGCATTATTTATAATAGCTAAGATATGGAAACAACCTAAGTGTCCATTAATAAATGAATGCATAAAAAAGAAGTGGTACATATATACAATGGGATATGACTGACATCCTATATAATAAAAGGCTAATATGCAAATAGACCAAACAGCATAACAACCAAAAACCGGTCGTTATGACGGGCGCTGACCACCAGGGGGCGTGCATGGAATATGGCGGGTGTTGGCCGCAGTGGGATGGCGGAGCAGGTGAGTGGGGGTGCCAGACCAAGGCGGGGCTCCGCCAGTCGCTGTCATAAGGGCGAGCCTCTGAAAATTCTTTGCTCCTGCGCGCAGCGGTCCCACCCGGCACTCACACCTACTGCCGGCCCCGGCCCCACTTGCACCCGCTGCTGGCACTGGAGCTGCCACTCGCACCCAGTGCCAACTCTGGCCCCGCTCGCACCCGCAACCGGGACCACCACTCACTCGGCGCCATCAGCGGGTGAGAGCAGCGGCTGCTGGCTCGGATCGCCCTTGAGGGTTTCTCCACCTCCCCCTGCTCCTGAGGGGCAATCGGGGCAGCAGCCACCGCTCGCACCTGCTGCTGGCACCGGCCCAAATCGCTGTCAGCGAGTGTGAGTGGGGCCAGCACCTTCAGTGCATGGGAGTGGCGGCGGCAGGAGCTGGGCTGCCGGCAGACAAGGGGACCAGGGGCTGTGGTGGGAGGGACCAAGTGTGGGCGCGGAGGATGGACCGAGACCCGCCCCTGTGCCTACTGCAGCCTCGCAGCCCACAGTTTCTTTTTTCAAGCACGAATTTGTGCACTGGGCCCCTAGTAAAAAGTAAAATAAAATCTTGCCATTTGCAGCATGATGGATGAACCTAGAGGATATTATGCTGAGCAAAATGTCAGACAAAGAAAGACAAATACCGTATGATTTCACTTACATGTGGAGTCTAAAAACCAAAGTAAATGAACAAACAAAACAGAAACAAATTCATACAGAGAACAAATAGATGGTTGCCAGACTTGGGGGTGGGTGAGTGAAGGAATTTAATACAAGTACAAATTGCCGTGGGGATGTAAAGTTCAGCATAGGGAATACAGTCAATCATGTTGTAATAACTTTGTGAAATGTCAGTCTGGTCTAGACTTACCAGGGTGATCACTTTGTAAGTTATATAAATGTCTAATCACTATGTTGTACACCTGAAACTAATATGTTATATGTCAACTGTAAAGATGTAATGACTATTAACAGTCATCTCTGAGAGATGGATTTACAGGAACTATTTAGCTTTCACATTATTATGTGAGTATTTTTGTGTTATCACTTAGAAAATGAAGATATTCTCATTTGGAGAATAGGAAGTACTTTAAGTCAAAATGCTGCATGTATTATTGAATTCCCTATACAAAATTATAATAAGGATTAAGTCATTGACTCCCAAATCTAAAAGAAAATCCCCAGAGACCTAGCTAATTATTTTTTACTGTATGAGCAACTCCACCATGCTAAAATAATTTATATGAATTATTACCTGATCCTCATCAGAATCTGAAGAATACCGTAATAATATTAATAATACTAATAATGCTCAGAGATTTAAAAAATTGGTCCAAGGTCACAGTAAGTCCAACCACCTTTTTATTTACAGTTTCATAAAGGAATTCCTGAAATAAGAATCTTAAAATTCACTTTAAGAGATAATAATTAGACAATGTGAAAGAAAAAAATGGAATAAACCAACTTTTGGTGTATTACTAGCTGTACTAGAGTAAGTTCACCAATTTGCTGGTGACACCAAAAACCAGTCTTTATAGCCTCCGTTCACTCCCAGCTTCCTGAATGAGTACATGGACACTGCTGGTGTACATATAAGGGAAAATAGGCTACCAGAAGAAAGAAAAAAAAGAACAGAATGGGGGAAAGGATATTTTTAAAGTGAATACACTAAAAACCTATTATTTAATTGCAATAGGTATTCTTTCTCATTTAAATTGAATTTTGTTTGGAGGTTAGTTACTTTTAAACTATGTTAGTAAATTAAACATCAAGTATAATTTAATAAAAATTTTGCCTTCTAGTCATTTCATTTAGAATACTCAGGGGAAACCAGTCCTTGTTTCCATATAATACGCACTGTGTGAAAATTTAAATTAAAATTTGATGGTTAAGAAATACTCATGGGAAATAGCTGAAGATGCAACAGTAAATC